AAAAAAAAAAAAAAAGAAGTGGCCTGTTTTTGGAATCCATGGAGGAGAGTCACTTTGAACAGTGGTGGTTTGACATCTGTGGAAGAAGCCATTTGAACTCTTATAAAGAGAATCTTTAAGGGATCAGCAGCCTCCCTGGAAATTTCAGGAAAACCAGCAAGAGAGGGGATGGCTTTCATCTTTTCATAAAGTTCTTCTCCAGAGCTACTGAGGTTCTCTGTAGAGAGTAGATATTCCGCTTCACCCGATCTTCCAGAGAAGAGGTAGATGCACTCTCTAGCTTCATGCGGCTGGGAAGAGAAGACAGGTGAAAGTTAAGTAACACGCATTTGTCAACTGGTCAACTATCTGGCAGAATAAGAAGAAACAGGTTGCTAGCCATAAAGCAGCTGTAGAAACACAAGCTCTCTTAAGCCCATGTAGATAACTTTCGAGTGACTCCATCTGGAACTCAATTTTTTATAAATTTAGAAGGGAAATGTATCTGTTTTGGAAAATAAGTCCAAGCTTCATTTGAAAAAGGCTTCCTGAGCCATGAATTCTTAGGAGAAGGCAAAGGAGATTCAGTGAAAATACCAATTCACTTCTCCTGCCCTCAGATGAAAAACGTCCCACTGTCTGGCCAGAAGCTGGGAGTAGTAACAATGGTGTCTGGGGGCTGAGCTCCGCACCGACACAGAAACACTGGGAACACAATGAATGAACCAGTTGCCCAACTGCCTCCTTGGGACCATCGCCATGAAAGCTGATAAGCAGGAAAATGATGCACTCACTGGATAAACTTCCCATCCCGGGAGTCTAGCTTTTCCAGCCTCTGCTCCCGTTCGTCATCCTTAGCGTGCCTCTTGAGGATGTTCAGCCTCTCTTCCTCCCGCCACTTGGCGTTTTCCATCATCTCTTGCCGTTTTCGCTCTAGCTCCTCTGATGACAGCTTTCTGTTGAACACAAAAATCACCCTAAGGTCTACTTCTCTCCCAGCAACAACAACAACAAATAGAGAAACACCACAGGGAGAAGAGAAACCAAGTAGGACCCCAGGTTCTCCAGCCCATGGCTCTCTTCTCTCGGAAATGCCCAGCCCAGTGCCACACACAGCATGAGTTTCCTTCCTTCCTAATATCTTATTCAGGTGGTTGCACTCAAATTTCAAAGACTTTTAGTGAAGGATTCCATACTCTCAATAATCTCTGGAGTAATTACTCTGAAACAATAAATACAAAACATAAACTGAGAGGGGCTTCCCTGGTGGCGCAGTGGTTGAGAGTCCGCCTGCCGATGCAGGGGACGAGGGTTCGTGACCCGGTCCGGGAGGATCCCACATGCCGCGGAGTGGCCATAACCGTGAGCCACTGCCGCTGAGCCTGCGTGTCCGGAGCCTGTGCTCCGCAACGGGAGAGGCCACAACAGTGAGAGGCCCGCGTACTGGAAAATAAATAAATAAATAAACTGAGAACTAATCAGGAGCCTCAGGCTATGGCAATTATATTCCAGTTGTTTGCTCAACAACTTATAAAACAGGGGACTAAGTTCATCCATGTAACGGTTAACATCTACCACCTACCCACTAGAGGTGCTTAGAAATTCATGGACGTAGTGCATGAGTATACCACTTTAGGACTAAGCTAGAAGCAAGATGCCTGAAGAGTTCAATTTAGCCTCGAACAGTAATAGGTAGGTCTTTCCTGGCACTCACTGCAAATGAAGAGCAAGAAGAGGAGGTGATGAACCAGCTCGATCACTACCAATGTCAGACATCCAAATCCATTGCTTCTCAAGTTTGTGTGATGTACTGATCCCCCTTTAAAAGGAAAAATAATTATCGGAGTCCCATAAGGGAGTGGGAGCCCAATTTTGAGAAAATTAAGATACTAAAATTTGACATTTAGTTATCTATAGCGAAATGAAAAGCCTCCCCTTCAAAAACCCCACTAACTAAAATATATAAAAGCACAAGAAGATGGAAGAGGAAATAACACTAAATAAGAGATGTGAACAAATTGTCAGAAGATGGAAGTGGATGAAGGAGTAGTAACCACTTTAACAGATTAGAGGAAACTGAATCCTAAGTGCCTGATACTGATCAGAAGCAATGCAAAACCCAGGAAAGGTTCAGGGACTGCAGGAACCAAGCACTTTGGAGGGTGGTGCACAGGGTTGAAAACAAAGGGACTAATTTAAGGTCTGTATAAGGAGCAGTTAAGACATTCTGGGGTCCTCACGCCTGACTCGGGGGAAGCCCGTGACTACTCTCCCAAACATCTACAGGAGACCCTCCAGAGGGTAGACCCTCCAGTAGTTTCTGAGAAATTGAACCATACAGGAGAATGACACCAGACAGGTACATGTAAAAGAATGAAATTAGAACATTTTCTCACATCACATAACAAAAATAAACTCAAAATGGATTAAAGACCTAAATGTAAGACCGGAAACCATAAAACTCCTAGTTTTATGGACGTGGAGTTCATCTCTCTCCACGGATACATGAGGAATACATCTATAAATACAACAATTCTCACAGAACACTGGCTGAAAACTAGCAGAAGACCTTGGACGCCAGAAAGGACTATAAAGATCCCTGCATAACTGGGTAGGACGGAAAAAAAAGAAGGGAGGAGGAGGAAAGGAAGCGGATGGGGACCTGCACTCTGGGGCGGGGGAGCTGAAGCAGAGGAGAGAGTCCTGAATTCGGGGAAACCCCCTCTCCGACGGGAAAATCGATTGGGACAGAAGGGAAGCATTTGAGGCTGTTGGAAGAGGGTGAAGTGGCCGACCTGTGGCAGACGGGACAGAGTGAGAAATACACAGATGGTCCGTACCACGGGCTTGCGTGCCCCAGACTGGGACGTGTGTTCACAGGTGTGCAAGGGGGCTGGGAGCTGGTGCATGGGGACTGGAGAACAGGCCCAGAGTGAGAACTGCTGTTGGATGTGGGAAGATGAACAGAGGGGACAAGAGGGAGGAAATCTGCAGAAGGAAATGCCTATGCAGGAAGACTGAACTGCCATGAAAGCAGGCGCTACTGCTGAGTCACATGCATGGGGAGGAGCCACTACTGTAACCTCTCTCTCCCCACACGCCGGTGCCTGCCAACGACAATAAAAGAAGCCCGTTCAGGGCTGGCCCTCACACGCCTGCTGCCGGATGCCAGAAAAACCCTGGCCAGGGCTGGCCCTCACGTGCCTTATGCTGGGCGCCAGAAAAGGCCCTCACTAGGGCCATATCTCTTGTACTCATGGCTGCCGGCTTCCCTGTGCATTTGGCATGGCCCGGTCTCCCGCGATCCAAGCAGTCAGACCACCTCTGTACCCCATCCTCACAGGGGCAGACCCAAGAGCTCCAAGGCAGCCTCAGGACCAGACTCCTGTGGGTGGACCACACACAGAGGTGGGGATAAAACCAAAGCTGAACCCTAGGGACAGGGTAACTAAGGAAGAAGATTGAAAATCTTTCCATCAGCTATACAAGCTGCAGATTAAATCCCCAGGATCAGCTAGGTAGACCCTGCGTCTATGGAATATCTGAGTAGACAATGAGTGTTTCCCACAAATGAAAACGGTCTAGTTCTGGCAGCTGTGGACTTTGGGGGCAGCACACACAGGAACTGGGCTACATTAGAGTCTGAGTGGTGCTCACAGGGCCCACAGCAGGTCCAGAGACCAGCCCACAGGCTCCCCTCTTGGGGAGGCGGAGGTGGGCTGTGGCTCATGGCAGGTGCAAGGACACTTACAGCAGAGACCCCAGGGAAACATAATTATTACTATTAATTTTATTATGTTTTGATTCATTCTGTTGTTGGTTCTAGCTTTTTTCTTGGTTTCTTTTTCTTTTCTTTTTTTGTTTGTTGTTGCTTTAGTTTTTTTTCAGTCTTTTGGGATCTCCATGTTTTATTACATATTTTTATTGTTTACACAATTCTATTTTTACTTTGCTCTTCTGCTGTTCTGTGTTCTTTTCCCTTATTTTTTTCCTTCCTCCTTTTCTTTTTTGAATCTTTTCATTTCTACTTTGTTTTTCTGTCGTCCTGTGTTTTATCCCTTTTTATTTTCTTTCATTATTATTATTATTATATATTTTTTTTTTCCTTGCGTTATGCGGGCCTCTCACTGTTGTGGCCTCTCCCATCCGCGGAGCACAGGCTCCGCACGCGCAGGCCCAGCGGCCATGGCCCACGGGCCCAGCCGCTCTGCGGCATGTGGGATCCTCCCGAAACGGGGCACGAACCCGCGTCCCCTGCACCGGCAGGCGGACCCTCAAGCACTGCGCCACCAGGGAAGCCCCATTATTATTATTTTTTAATCATTTTTATCAGTTTGTTCTGTTTCCTTGCTTTACTCTTCAGCTGGCACACTGCTTCGGTTGTTTTTAGATTATGTGTTTTTGTTAGTTTTAATCCTAATTGTTTGATTTCATTTTTGAGTTCTTCTATTTGTCTGGTTCTCTTGCTTTTTGTTTTATTGGGCTCTCTTTTTGTTTCTTTTACATGAGTGTGTGTTTCCTTGTTTCTGCTTTTGTTTGTTTGATTTTGTTTTTACCATTTCTCCAGGGTTTTGTCTTTTTCTTTAATATATTTTCTATTTTATTTTTATATATTTCTGTTTCTACGTTGCTTTTCTGTTGTTCTGTCTTCTTTTCCTTTCTCTTCTTTTTTTTATATCATTTTTTTGTCGGTTTGTTTCGTTTCTTTGCTTCATTCTTCAGTTGGTACTCTGCTTTGGTTTTGTTTTGGGGCTTTTGTCAGCTTTCTTCTTAATTGTTTGATTTTGTTCTTGGGTTCTTTTGTTTGTCTTGTTGTTCCCTTGCTATTTGATTTATTTAGTTCTGTTCTTGTTTCTTTTGTGTGTGTGTGTGTTTCCTTGTTTCTGTTTGTTTGATTTTACTGTTTACCATTTGTCTGGGGGTTTGTTAGTCTATTTTTTAATCCCCTTTATTGCTGGGATGAGCGACTTGCAGGGTCTTGGTCCTTCAACCACAAGTCGGGCCTGGGATTATGGAGTGGGAGCACCAAGTCCAGGATGCTGGACCAATAGAGAACTCCTGGCCCCAGGGAAGATTAATCGCCAAGAGCTCTCACGGAGGCCTCTATATGAATCCAAGACCTGGCTCCATCCAACTGCCAGCTGCTCCCAGTGCTGGATGCATCACACCAAACAACAAACAAGACAGGAACAAAAACCCACCCATTAGCACAGAGACTACCTAAAGTCATACTAAGGTCACAGACACCCCAAAACACACCACCTGACACGGCCCTACTCAGCAGAGGGAAAAGACTCAGCTCCACCCACCAGAACGCAGGCACCAGGCCCTCCCATCAGGAGGCCTACACAAGACACTGGACCAACCCCACAACCGGGGGCAGAGAACAGGAGCAAGAGGAACTACAACCCTGCAGCCTAGGGAAAGGAGACATCAAATACTGTAAATTGGACAAAATGAGAAGACAGAGAAATATCTTACAGACAAAGGAGCAAGATAAAAACCCCCAAGACGAAATAAATAAGGGGGAAATAGGCAAACTACCTGAAAAAGAATTCAGAGTAATGATAGTAAAGATGATCCAAAATCTTGGAAATAGAGAAAATAGAAGAAACCTTTAACAAGGACCTAGAAGAACTAAAGAGCAAACAGTCATGAACAACACAATAACTGAAATTAAAAATACTGTAGAAGGAATCAATAGCAAAATAACTGAGGCAGAAGAACGGATATGTGAGCTGGAAGATAGAATGGTGGAAATAACTGCCGCACAGCAGAATAAAGAAAAAAGAATGAAAAGAACTGAGGCCAGTCTCAGAGACCTCTGGGACAACATTAAGTGCACCAACATTCGAGTTATAGGCATCCCAGAAAAAGAAGAAAAAAAGAATGGGTCTGAGAAAATATTTTAAGAGATTATGGTTAAAAACTTCCCCAACATGGGAAAGGAAATAGT